AGCGCTTCTTGCCCCCATAGGGAGCTCCACCGAAGGCCCCAGTGGGGGTGTTCGCATGCGGGTCCCCCGCCCTGGACAGCGTTCCGTGGCCCCGTAGGGGGCCCCACCGAAAGCCCAAGTGGGAGCGTTCGCATGCGGGCCCCCCACCCAGGACAGCGCTTCGTGGCCCCAAAGTGAGCTCCACCGAAGGCCCCAGTGGGGGTGTTCGCGTGCGGGTCCCGCACCCAGGGCAGCGTTCCGTGGCCCCACAGGGAGCCCCACCGAAGGCGCCAGTGGGGGTGTTCGCATGCGGGCCCCCACCCACGACAGCGTTTCGTGGCCCCACAGGGAGCTCCACCGAAGGCCCCACAGGGGGTGTTCGCATGCGGGTCCCCCACCCAGGACAGCGTTTCGTGGCCCCACAGGGAACTCCACCGAAGGCCCCAATGGCTGCGATCGCATGCGCCCGCCGCGCCCATTTCGGCACACCTCTTACACGTTTCGTGGCCCCACAGGGAGCTCCACCGAAGGCCACAATTGCTGCGTTCGCATGCGCCCACCGCACCCATGTGAGTACAGTTCCCACACGCTTCGTCGCCCCACAAAGAGCTCCACCGAACGTCACAGTGGCTGCGCTCGCATGCGCCAGCCCGCAGCCATTTCGGCACACCCCTCACACGTTCCGTGGCCCACAGGGAGCTCCACCGAAGGCACCAGTGGCTGCGTTCGAATGCGCCCACCGCCCCCATTCCGGCACGCCCCTCACACGTTTCGTGGCGCCACAGGGAACCCCCCACCGAAGGCCCCAATGGCTGCGTTCGCTTGCGCCCGCCGCACCCATGTCGGCACACCCTTCAGATGGTTCGCGGCCCCACAAAAAGCCAACCGCAGGCTACAGTGGCTGCGTTCGCACGCGCCCACCGCACCGATTTCGGCACACCCCTCACACGCTTCGTGGGCCCACAACGAGCCCCACCGAACGCCCCAGTGGTTGCGTTCACGTGCGCCCACCGCACCCATTCTGGCACACCCCTCACACGTTTCGTGGCCCCACAGGGAGCCCCACCGAAGGTTTTGTGGCTGCGTTCGCATGCGCCCCCCGCGCCCATTTCGGCACGCCCCTCACACGTTTCGTGGCCCCACAGGGAGCTCCACCGAAGGCCACAGTGGCTGCGTTCGCTTGCGCCCACCGCACCCATTTCGGCACCCGCCACACGTTTCGTGGCCCCACAGGGGGTTCCACCGAAGGCCCCAATGGCTGCGTTCGCATGCGCCCACCGCACCAGTTTCGGCACACCCCTCACACGTTTCGTGGCCCCACAGGGAACCCCACCGAGGGCCGCAATGGCTGTTTTCGCATGCGCTCACCGCACCCATTTCGGTACACTCCTCACACGTTTGGTGGCCACATAGGGAGCCCCACCGAAGGCCCCACCTGTTGCGTTCACATGCGCCCACCGCACCCATTTCGGCACACCCCTCACACGTTTCGTGGCCCCACAGGGAGCTCCACCGAAGGCCACAATTGCTGCGTTCGCGTGCGCCCACCGCACCCATGTCAGTACATTTCTCACACGCTTCGTTGCCCCACGCGGAACCCCACCGAAGGTCCCAATGGCTGCGTTCGCATGCGCCCACCGCACCCAGTTCGACACCCCCCATCACACGTTTCGTGGCCCCACAAAGAGCTCCACCGAAGGCCCCAGTGGCTGCGTTCCAATGCGCCCACAGCACCAACGTCGGCACACTCATTGCACGTTTCGTGGCCCCACAGGGGGCTCCACCGAAAGCCCTGGCACAGCCCTCAGGCGTACCGTGGCCCCCTAGGGATCGCTACCGAAGAAGATATTCACAGATGCGGTACGCACAACTGCATATGGTTGGGTTTCTCGCCAGGGTAATGTTTTTCTGGCTTCCCGCAGCGTTCGAACGCTTCGTTTGAGGGGGTCGGCCGCCCCTTGTGGAGGAATCAATGTGACCGGTAGCAAGCAGCGTCGCACAACAACGCGCGCCTTCGCCCTGCGACTCCCCAGCCCGTGGATTCAATCCACTGCCCAAACCAAGCCATATATATATATATACACACGCACATACCTGCCCACCTATGCACCGGGGCGGGACATGTCGCATTTTGTAGGGTTCGCGAATAATATATTGAGCCGGGTCTCGAAGGGGCCGCCTGCATTGCAGGCGCAGGTGCTAGGGGATTCAGGCGGAGGGAGGCTGGATTCCATATCGAAGTGTCCGCCTTCGGGCCATCGCCGCGTTCTTCGTCGTCGCCGTCGTCGTTGTTCCCGGGGAATTCACGACGCCGACGCAGCGCTCCATTCCCTTCCCCGTATACTATCCACAGTTGGCCGTCGTCGTCTGTCGGTCGTCGCGCCGCCCCACCCGGAAAAATTACGAGACGCCTACGCAGCGCCCCGTCGTTCAATACGCCACCGTCCCCCATTGCAGTTCACAATCGTCGTCGAAGTAGTCGTCGTCCGCCGCCGACGTTATCCAGCATTGCGCGGCGCATCCGCACCGCCGCCGCCCCCTTCTCTTATGCCATCCGAAGTGTACCGCCGTCGTCGTCGCCGCGTCGGCGGTCGTCGTCGGCGCCGTCACCGTCGCCGTCGCCTTCCGTCCGTCCGTCCGTCCGTCGTCGTTGTTATCGTCGTCGTGCCCTTGGGACCGCCAGGAATGCAAGACGCCCGCGCAACACCACCACCCACACACCCCCCACATGCCATCTGCAGTCCGTCGTCTTCGTCCGTCGTCGGCCCCCGGGGCTGCAAAACGCTCGCGCACCACACCCACACACAATCTGGCATCCGCAGTTCGTCGTTGTCGTCGTCGGCGGCGTCGGCTCATCGTCGCCGCCGTCGTCGTCATCGTCGCGGTCGTCGTGGATGCCGTCGTCGTTGTCCGCCTCCCTGTTGTCGTCGCGAACCGCAGCCGCCACCCCCTCCATTGCATTGTCAACAGTCGGGCCCCCCCGCTGGCCTCCCAATCGGCTCTGGGGCCAACCCGAAGTGTTCGGTCTCTGTGGGCCGACTTCCTTAGTTTGCCATTGCGGGGGCCGCGAGGTTGCCGAAACGGTTTGTCTTCCCCTTCAATATGTTGCTTAATGTTTGACGCCCATCGTTTGGCGGTATATATTTACAGGCGAGAGAAAATGAGACAAAGCGATAGAGAGAGAGAGAGACGACAACCAGAGAACGTGATGTGCTTGTAAAGAGAGCGGGAGGGGAGGGAAACGAGAGGGAGAGAGAAAACAACACATTAACAAAAAGGGAGGGAAAGAGCGAGAGAGAGAGAGAGAGTCAGAGTCAGAGTCAGTGAGAGAGAGAGAGAGGGAGAGAGTCCGGGAGGCTGAGGGGCCTCTTGGGGGCCTTTGGTTGCTTCTTGGGGGCCTCTGAGGTATCTTGGGGCATCCTGGGCGCGTTTCTCAGGCCTCCGAGAGGCTCTTGGGGCCATCTTGGGACCGTAGGCACAAGATGTCCGTTCGGGCAGGTCCCCTAGGCCCCTTCTTAGGGCCGTCTTGGAGGTTAGGGCCTTGTTACTGGCCTCTTAGGCCGTCTTGGAGCGTCGGGAAACTAACAAAGCGAGAAGGCCAACCGCTGTCAAAAACCTCAGGAGCATAAATGTGAGGGCGTGGACTACAGAGGGCGGAAGGGGGGTGGGAGAAGAGGGAGAGAGAGAGAGAGAGTGTGTGTGTGTGTGAGTGTGTGCGTGTGTGTGAGAGAGAGGGGAGCGACGGAGAGTGCGGGGCGGTCGGTCGGACTCGGCACTGCAGCAGTCTGCGCGCCGTCTTGCTGAAGGCACTCGCCCCGAGAGGCGTGGGACTTGTTTCGACCGCCGCCCTCCCCTGCGACCCCCCCCCTCGGCGATGGGAGGCCCAGCCCGGAGCTCCAGGCGGCCCAACGCACTGAAACGCGAGGGCCGCGGACGGCGTGGAGCGCTAGACACAAGAGTGCGGCAACCAAAGGGACAGCAGCAGCTGGCCTCGGGGCGTCTGGGAGGCGTCTTTGGCCGTCTGGGGGCCATCTGAGCGACGCAAGAGAAAGGGGTCGTCTGCGCCGACATTGGCGCGGAAGCTGCCCGCGTAAGGTCGCGCGTAAGCGCCCCCGTCTCCAATGCAGCGTACCGCGCTGGCGGCCCGCGTAAGCAACCGCGTAGGATCGCTGCGTCACCTCGCCCAAGACCCGTTTCTGATCCTCGCCCACTTGGAGCGGCTTGGAACGATCTCTCGGCGACTCGAAACCCTCCTTGGCTCGTCTTGGAGGTCTCCTGGGGCTCTTGGGGCCCGCCTTGGGCCGCCGGAGCGGGTCCGTGAGCAGGGACGAGACCGCAGGCACCGCCAGGAATTTTGTCCCCCATGGGGGACAACATTTTCCCATGGGGCACAAAATGGGAGACCGCCAGGATTTTTGTCCCCCTTGGGGGTCCGGCCAGATTGGAGGGTGGGGATGCATCCCCACCTTCCAATCCGTCTAGACCAAACTCCCAGGGGAAGGATTCGGGAAAGGGCAGCATCTCACACGCCGAGTCATCCCAAGGGGTCGGCAGAATCGTCGTCGGGCATGTGTTCTTTGGCACTCTCACTCGTGATCTTTCTTCTAGATTAGTTCTTGATGATGTTTCTCCCTTAGCCCGTGAGAGTAATTATGTAAACGCGTCCCATGACGACGAAAAGCGAGAGCAAAAGAACAACGCGCCCCGGCAATGGCGTTCCGAGGTGAATCTTGAGTCCGTCGTGCAACCATCTTGAGGCCGTCTGGAGGTCTTGAGGCGATCAAATGTTAGTGCGTGCACGGGAATGATGAGAAAGGTTTTTCGGGTGTCGTGTCCAGGCTTGGCCCCTCGCGTTGCTCGTCGCAACCGCTCGGGCTCAAGCGTCAAAGGCACGGGTTCTCGCTCGATGGCCGTCACACCATCCCAGGCAGTACTCTTCACCTGGATTGCCGCGATAGCCCCCTCGCTCTCGGACTGGGTGGTCGGCTTCGCTGCTGGGCGCTCCGCGCTGGCAGCCCCAGGCCGCGCGGCGGTCGTCGGCTGGGGTTCGGAGCCTCCGCTGTGGGACTGTTCCTGCTGGCACCTGCCCGTCGACAGTGGCGCCCGAGCCGCCGGGCCGGCCCTCGCTGGGTGCCCCAGTGCGGCTCGCGCCCGACTGTGCCGCGGCGATCGAGGTCCTCTGGCCGTGCGTGGGACGCCTCGCGGTCTCGGCCGACCTCGCTCTCGCCGGGCGCCTGGGGTTCGGGGACCTCGAGGAGCTCTTCGTGCTGTACTTGAGCCGCCGTGCTGCGTGGCCCGACTCGACGCAGCTCCGGGTGATCCGCAGCGGAGCGAGACTGGCAGTCGGGGGCGCAGCTGCTCGTGTCGCTCGTCCCTGACCTCGGGTTCAGGCACGAGCGCGTCATCATGTGGGCGTGTGACGGTTGTCCCTGGATCGTGTACACGGACGGCGGCGACATGTAGGTGGAGAAAGGAGAAGGACGGGGACAAGGTGTACCCTCTGACGACGGGTCAGTCGTCGAGGTCTCTGCCGTACTACGTGGCGGAGGTTGTGCCGCTTGCAATGTTCCTGACGGACGACGTATTGCACGGGCTGATCGTGGAGGCCCGCATCGAGGTGGCGCCCTTGCAGGAGTCTGAGCCCGATCGCCACACGCCAGCGGGCCCGTCACACTGCCTGTCGGAGGATGGCCGCCAGCGCCCGCCCCGTCGCCGCCGTCCCCAGGGCGAGCAGGTGAGGCTCGCCGGCAAGGAAAGCAACCCACCTGTCGCCGACGCGGGTGCGGGAGCCGCCGAGTCACCTGGCGGCGCCGGGTACGCGGGCGGCAGCATGCTGGCCGCCGACGGCGAGCGGCATCGCTGGCTGGCCAGCAAACCTGGTCGGATCGGGGAGTTGGGAATCCCTGTGCTGCACGCATACGTCATGATCTGGCTGGGTGACCGCAGCGTCGCCGACATCGACGGCGAGACAATGCCGATGCGGAGCGCTCCTGGGACCAACGTGGCCGACTACGCGACCATGAAGACCTCGGCCTACGAGGTGGCGGTTCACTACGTCGGCGGCGCGCCCAACTACTTCGGGCGGCGTGTTGAGATCGTGCCGAGCCGCGCGCCTTTCCACGGCGATGGATCCGAGCCGACCGCCCCTGCAGACGCCGCCGAGCCGAGCGATGTTCGCACTTCGTGGGAGGATACTGACGCCATGAACGACCCGCTCAAGTCATGGCGTAATGAGGTCACGGAGAGCTACCCCACTGTGTGGACCGGCAGCCCCGTGGAGGCGCGGGTCTGCCCGATGTTTATCCTCAGGCACTCTGATCGGCATGGCGACATCGTCAGGAGGTGCCTTGACCTCTGGTCTCGCTCGAAGATTCTTTGGCCGCGCGAGCAGGTCATATACGAGAGCTCCGTCCCCTACGAGGTCATCTACGAGGGTGGCTCCTACGACCAGCTCAACAAGCCATCGCTGTTCATCTTCGAGTGCATAGCGCACCGTTTCCAGAGTAGTGTGGACGTGTACTCGGTCGACTCCTCTTGGCCGCAGTTGGCCAGCGCAGGGCTTCACTCCAGCGTGGGTTTTGCGGTGGTCATGGTCGCGCCCGAGCTGGAGCACTACGTGGCCAAGACGGCCGTGGACGAGGCCGAGGTCGAGTTCATGCGGGTGCAGGCCCGCATCCTTTTGATCTCTGCCGACGCCGCCGCTGCTGGCGGACCCCTTGTCGCCGGACGCAGTGCACCTGTCGCCGCCGTGGCGGGCCAGCCCTCCAAAAGATCGGGCCGTGGAGTCCCGAGTGGAGGCGAAGGCGCCGCTGCCGCGGCGGCGACTCAATGAGTGATGTGACCCTCGGCGGTGGGACTGGCCCAACCCCCGCCGTTCGCCTTCCTGGGCTTGCACGCGGATCCGCGGAGATCTTCCCTTTGCCCGACGACTCCAGCCTCGTCGCGGATTTCTGGATCCACCTTCAGGGGCGTGCCCAGCGCCGGTTCGTGAGGGATTGGCGGGAGTGTGTGCGCTCATTGAATTGGTTGTGGGGTGCTGGCCATCGTGAGGTCGCCCGACGGGCTCGCGGCGACGTCCATCCATACCGTTTTCAATTTCAACGTGAGGTGCTGGTGCGAGTCGCCCAGGGGGTCCAGACGTATCTGGACCCACCCTCCGACCTTTCTCCGAAGGAGGCCTTTCAGGGGCTACTTCGAGGCCGCGGGGTCTACGACACCGAGACGGCCTACACTACCCTGGCACCCTACCAACGGGGCGCGGTTTCTCTTCCTTGTGACGTCTCGACGGCCCCGGCCGTGGGAACCTTGGTCACGGGGCGCGCCCTCGAGTATCTGGTAGAGGCAGAGGAGCAGATGATCAGGGCCGACGCTGAGGTCCAGCTTGACCGTGTGACGAATGGCGAAATCAAGATCTACACCGACCCGCTGCTCGCCAATAGTCGCCGACGGTACTCCACCTTCGTGAAGGATCTGAAGCGGAAGGGCTTGGTGGGCTTCACCCGCGATCCCAAGGAGTTCGTGGGTGTTTTCTTCGTCTGGAAGAAGGAGCGCGCCTCCATGAGGATGGTGCTCGACTGTCGCCGCTCCAATCAACGTTTCGTGACCCCTCCTGGGGTCGAGCTGCTGTCGACCGAAGGGCTTGGTCGGATCGAGTGCGACACGGAGCAGACCGGCACATTGCCCATCTTCCTGGGCAAAGCTGACGTGAAGGATTGCTTCCACCGCATGATGTTCGGCAACCACCTCTCCAAGTACTTCTGCTGGCTGGACGTGGTCGCTCTATTTCGCTCAGGTGGCCAACCTCGGCCTGGTGGAACGGGTCCCCGCGGTGGCGTCGAGTTGCGCGGCCACCGATCGAGGGCCCCCCATCGTGCTGTCTCCGACCTCCTCCTGGCACTACGTATACGTCGACAACGTTGGGCTCATGTCGCTCGATGCCTCCTACGTCAAGGGGGCTCTGGCGGACACCATCGCGGCCTTCGACGCCGCGGGCCTCGTCATGCATGACATCTCGGTGGACTCCGACACCGCCGAAGCGCTGGGAGTGACGCTCGATGGCCAGAAACACCAGACCCTCGTCAACCACCGGCGCTACTGGAAGGTGAGACTCGGCCTGCGGTGGGCCCTCTCGTTGCGGCGCCTGGCAGGGCGAGAGCTCGAAGTATTGCTTGGCCACCGTACGTTCGTTGGTTTGATGTGCCGGGAGACCCTGTCCGTGCGGCACACCGTCTACACCTTCATCCGTGAGCGGTACTGGGCCAAGAGCGACATGTGGGAGTCCGCACGTCAGGAGCTCGAGTGCTTCCTCGGGCTGATGCCGCTCCTTCGGTCTGAGTGGGATCGGCCGTGGCTCACGCAAGTACTGTCCGTGGACGCCAGCCCGTACGGCTGGGGGATAGCCAGCTCCGAGTTCGGAGTGTCGATGGTGGAAAAACAGGGCAGGATTCTTGAGCGATCTCGCTTCCGTCGACTCGGAGGGTTGCCGGCTCGGGCCAGTGCCCTCGCCGCCGCGGGGTTCGTCTACTCACCAACCACCGATCGCTGGCAGGTCGACGATGAGAAAGAGCGTGACCCTTCGGACGTTCGGGAAGCTGGAGCTTGGGAGATGCGTGAGGATTTCCCTGAGATCCCTGGGGCCCTCCTCCACGGGGATCGGTGGCGCTTGATTTTGCATGGTAAGTGGGCCTACTCCGAGGATGTCCTGATTCTCGAGGCCCGCGTCCTGGTCAAAGCTGTCGCAAGAGTTTGTAATTGCGTTCCAGGTGGATTCTGCAGAGTATTGTTATTGGGAGATAATATGTCAGTTATATTAGCTTGTGAAAGATTTCGGGCCCGCAGCTTCGGGCTCTTGGCGCAGATCAGACGAATCGCGGCCTACGCTTTGGGCCGAGGGGTTCGATTTGGGTTCAGGTGGCATCCCTCAGAGCTCAACAGTAGCGACGCTGGGTCCCGTATCTACGACCCCAACTACGACTCCACGAAGGATCTCACTCGCCTGGTGGCTGACGGACACGGACCCGGAGACGTCCTGCCTCAGCCTGCGGATCCACCTCGGTCCGTCGACGTGCCGGCTCAAGTTCCCGAATCGCTCGAGAACCCAGATTCTTTTGCCTGCACCGTATTCCACGACTGCCAGGATGCGGGCCCGCAGCCTGGCGGCGCCGAGCCAAACCATCGCTGGCCAGAGGAGTTGGCTCACGACGGTCGGGGCGCGTCCGATGACGACTTCCTGTCCGCCTTCAGCGACCACGGGGCTAACGACGAGGCCTACTTGGCTGCGACCGGAGACACGCTCGATGCTGGATACTGGGAAGGTGCCCCCAACCAGAGGGCCCCTGGTGACTCTGGCAGCCAAAAGGCCCGCCTGGGCTACAGTAGCAGTCGCGGCCGCTGCCATCGCCGCGGCCGCCGACGTGGACAGCGATGGCACTACTATGGCCGACGAGATGGAGAGGAGTCTCGAAGGCAAGACGCCCGCTCTCCTGCTGGTTCGGTGGACCATCGCGGTGGAGTTCGCGAGGCGGGACGAGCTTGCCATGGGTGTCGCCGTGATGAACGGAGTCAGCCGCTACCTCAGGCCAGAGCTCCTCAACCGTACCTCGGCCAACCTGGTGGCCCCGGGGTCGCTGGTGTCGCAGTACTGGAGCCTCCTTTTGCATCCTTCAGAGAGGGCAAAGAGGAGCCAGGTCGGCAATGCGGACGATTCGCTGACCATCGTCTCGGCCCACATGCTGCCGCGGGGTCACGTCTTCCTCCAGGCCTTGAAGGAGAAGGGCGGCCAGCTGTGGTCCTTCGATTGTTTCACCTTCTGGGCGAAGTCGAAGACTGTCGCCAAGATGTTGGGCATGTTGCACCTTGTACCGTGCCTGATGAGACATTCGTGGACGTGGATAGATCGCCTCAAGCCAGATCGCAGCCAGGAGGGAAGTCAGAGGCTCGGAAGGTGGAAGCGCTGGAAGAGTCTCACACGCTACAAGAGAGCCCGCCTCGGAAGCTTCTGGAACCAGCTCGCTGTCGAGATGCCAGCACACGTGTTTTTGTGCATGGACCAGTTCGTCGAGTTCCTCTGGTCGCCCAAGCTTGCTCCCAGGCCACCGCCCGTCCGCGGCTAGTGAAGGACGGCACCTACATGGCCGACCTGTTCTCGGGCTCAGGCAAAGTTTCTCGAGCGGCCACTCGGCTGGGGTTCTCAGCTAAGGCCTGGGACATCATCCACGGGCCCAACCATGACCTCACAGACCCAGCGGTGCTCCGCCTACTGTTTTCGGACATCCGTGACGGCAAGATCTTCGCCGCCATGATCGCTCTCCCCTGCACCTCGCTGACCATCGCTCGAGACAGGACTTTTCAGATACGCTCACGCACTCAACCATGGGGGGCTGACCTGACTGATGCCACAGATCGGGACCGAATCTCACTCGAGACTGGTAACAAGATAATTCGGGCCGTGATTCGCATTCTCAGACACCTCAATCGCCACAAAATTCCGTGGATACTTGAAAATCCGTCTACTTCCCGCTTGTGGTTCATCCCAGAGATATTGTCTGTATGCAGCCGGGCGCGTGCTGAATGGCGACTTACAGATTTCTGCCAGTGGGGTACGCCGTGGCGAAAGAGGACATGGCTAGTTTGTGGCAATATGTATCCTGAGGACAGTTGTTCACTGGACAGACTGTGCATTGGAAAAGCAGGTAGGTGCTCTCGCACTTTTCGCCGTCACATCGAGCTGAGTGGCCGCAATGATCAGAATGTTTTGTGGACCTCAACTGCTCAGCCCTACCCCTCTCGCCTTGCCACTGCTCTGGCTAAATCTCTTGCCGCTAAGAAGCACGCTTCCTGTTCGTACAACTCGGGCGGCCCCGCTCGCACCAAGGCCCAATGAGGCTCATGCCTTGTTTGTTTTCGTTTTTCCCCTCCTCTCTTCCCCTCCTTCGCCCCCGTGACCCCTTTTCTATTCGGGATGTTTGGAATGCCTTGGACGTGTGATTCTAACGATCTCACGTCGTCCCAGCTGTGTGTTATAACCCTGTCAGATAGTAGCAGACGTTCTCCGCTGGAAAAATACGGTCACATTATGTTAGTGCGTGCACGGGAATGATGAGAAAGGTTTTTCGGGTGTCGTGTCCAGGCTTGGCCCCTCGCGTTGCTCGTCGCAACCGCTCGGGCTCAAGCGTCAAAGGCACCCACCCTTTCGAACAATGTTCTCCCATCCCATACTTCCATTATACTTTGCAGAATGCCTTGGACGTGTGATTCTAACGATCTCACGTCGTCCCAGCTGTGTGTTATAACCCTGTCAGATAGTAGCAGACGTTCTCCGCTGGAAAAATACGGTCTCATTATGATTATGTTGGGGTCGGTGGTGGCGGGGTTCGTCGTCGCCGGAGTCGTCGTCGATGTCGCGGGACTCGTTGTTGGGTCGGTGGTAGTGGAATTCGTCGTCGTCGTCGTCGGAGTTTTCCTCGTCAAGGGGCGCGTCGTAGTGGGGCGCGTTTGCCTCGTTCCTCGTTGGCTCCGCGCGTAAGGGTTCGCAAACATGCACAGCAGGGCCTCCGCCGGGGCACACTGGGGTGGGTGCTGGGCCCACATTCGGGCCATGGCCCCATCTGGAAGTCTTGAGGCGGTCCTCATCCCCATTCCAGGAGCACCTTTGCACACCTCTGCGCACTTTAGGACACTTTTGCGCACGCTTGCCGGCTGAGCCCCGGGCCCAATCTCTCTGCGTCATTCAAGAGGGGAACAAAAACACACAGACACAATTAATCGTCGATTCCCTCGAACATATATGAAAACATGGGAAGTCGGGGGGAAGACGAACATCAAGCAACAAAAATGAACACATTGGGAATCCTGGGGTTTGTGTGTGTTGATTTGTGTGTCCCTGGTCCCCTTCAGGTCTCTCTCGAGCCAGGGCCCCGATCTGTGAGAGGATCCCGGGCCCCGAAAGACCAGTGAGGAGACCCGTTGTTAAAAAAGTGGTCCGAGGGAGCGCGCCCGCGGCACACTTCCCATCGGGTTGACCCAGAAAGGGGTCCAGCGACAAGGGTCGGGGGAGCGTAAGACCTGGGTTTGCCAGGACTCGGGTTCGCCATCGTTTTTTTGACGACCGCGCCTCGGATTTTGACGAGGAGGAGTTTCGTGGGGTGTCTGCAGCGGGAGGCTTTGTCAAAATGCAGGCTCGGCCTCGTCATTTTTTGACGACCTCGTCGGGGATTTCCGAGTCCCCTGTACCCAGGTTCTACGTCCCCCTGAAAAAAAGTGGTCCGAGGGAGCGCGCCCGCGGCACACTTCCCATCGGGTTGACCCAGAAAGGGGTCCAGCGACAAGGGGGTTGTGCAATAGATTTGGTCTCACAGATTTGTAGGGTTGCAGTCCATGTGGGGCGTGCAATACACTGCGGGGCGCAAACGTACTGCTGAGTATTCGCGCGCAGTACAGTACATTACTTGCAATACAATGCAATACAATTCTGCGGCGCAATACAGTTGCAATACAATTGCCCCAAATCTATTGCACCACCCCTTTTCAGCTGGACCCCCTTTCGGGTCACCCAAATTCAAGCTACCCCCTCCCTTCCTTGGAAAGGGGGGGCGGCTCTCGAAGCTACCCCCTCCTCCCTCCTTTTTGTGCGCATTCTTTAGCTGGGGGTGGGGGGGGCTTCGCGAAGGGGGAGGAGGGCGGCCTGAGAGCTACGCCCCCGCCTCCCCCTCTTCTCGGGGCCCCGGGTCAGCCCGGGCTCCCTTTTCAGAGGTGGTGTGGCTTCCGAAGCTACTCCCCTCCTTTTGTTTTGGAGTTTGTAGCTGGGGGGTCCCTGGCTGAAGGGAGGGGGAGGTTTGGAAGCTACACCCCCACCTCCCCCCCCTTGTTGGGGCCCAGGCTCAGCCCGGGCTCCCCTTTCCAAAGGAGGGGGGTTGTTCCCGAAGCTACCCAACCCCTCCCGTCCTTCTGTGTGCGTTTCCAGCTGCAGGGCTCTGGCTGAACGTGGCTTCGAAACCTTTTTTTATTTTGGTTTTCGGCGCCCCGTCGGTTTGTGGAGCACTTATAGTTTTCGGTGTCTCTTTCGTCTCGGCATTTTTTTGTTTGCGGCGCCCCTTTGGTTTTCGGCGCTCCTTTGGTTTGGCCATCCTTTGGTTTTCGGCGCTCATGTGGTTTTCGCGCCTCTTTGGTTTTCGGCGTTCGACAGATATTCGGCGCCTCTTGGTTTTCGGCGCCCGTTTACTTTTCGGCGCTCTTTTGATTGTCGGCGCTCTTTTGGTTTTCGGCTTCCGTTTGGTTGTCGGCGCCCTTTTGGTTGGTTTTCGGCGCTCCTTTGGTTTTCGGCGCTGCTTTGGTTTTCGGCGCTCCTTTGGCTTTCGGCGCCCTGTTGTTTTCGGCGCTCCCTGGGCCTTTGGCGCCCCTCTGGTTTTCCTACGCTCCTTTGGTTCTCGACGCCCTTCTGGTTATCGGCGCCTCTTTTTTTTTCTTCGGCGCCTTTCGTTTCTGGCGTCCCTCTGGTTTTCGGCGCTCCTTAGATTTTCGGCGCCTCTTTGGTTTTCGGCGCTCCTGCGGCTTTCGGCGCCCCTGCGGTTTTTTGGGGCGCCCGTTTGGTCTTCGCCGCCCTCTTTTGTTTTCGGCGTCGTATCCGTCTTTGGAGCTTCTGTTGTTTTCGGCGCCCTATGGTTTTCGGCGCTCTTTCGGTTATCGACGCCCCTTTCGATCTTCAGCGCCCTTTTGGTTTTCGGCGCCCTCTCGGTTTTCGGTGCTCCTCTGGTTTTCGGCGCCCATTCGGTTTTCGACGCTCTCCTTTGGTTCTCGGCGCCCTTGTGGTTTTCGGCGCCCCTTTTGTTTTCGGCGCCCCTTGGTGGTTCGGCGCCCCTTTGGTCTTCGGTGCCCTTTTGTTTTTGTTGCGCTTTCTTTGGTTTTTGGCACCGTTTTGGGTTTCGGTGCCCTCGTGTGTTTGGCGGCCTTTTGGTTGTCGGCTTGCTATTGGTTTTCGGCGCCCCTTTGGTTCCCGGCGTCCTTCTCAAGTTCGGGGGCCCGTTGGATTTTGGTGTATTTTTTGGTTCCGGTGCTCTTTGGTGTTCGACGCCTTGTTGGTTTTCGGCGCTGCTCTGGTTTTCGGCGCCCTTTAGTTTTTGACGTCTCTTTGGTTTTCAGTGCTATTTGGTTTTCGGAGCTTGTTTTGGTTTTCGGAGCGTCTGTGGTTTTCGGCCTTTGTTAGGTTTACCGCACCTTTTGGTTTTCGGCGCTCCGTTGCTTCTCGGCACCTTTTGGTGTTCGGCATTCCTTTTGTTTTCGGCTCCTTTTTGCGCCCTTTTGGTTGTCGTTGCCCTGGTGGCTGTTTTTGTTGTCGGTGCCCTTTCGGCGTTTCTTCGGGTTTCGGCGCCCCCTGGATTTCGCAGCCTTATGGTTTTCGGTAGCTCTTCGGTTCTCGGCGCTCTGGTGGTTTCCAGCGGTTGTTTGGTCTTCGGCGCCCCTTCCTTCAGCCAAGGGGGGCTTCCAAGTCCCCTCCACTTTAGCCCCAAAGGGGGGGAGGGGGGGGGGGCTTCCGGCCGGGGGGGTTCAGAGATGGGGGGGAGCTAAGCCTCCTCCACTCTGGAAAGGGAAGGGGGGGGTGGGTAGCTAAGGGGAGACCCCCCCCCTTCATTTGGGAGTGTACCACGGGCGCGCTCTCTCAATTGTCCTGTGCAAGGTGACCCCTTTTGGGTCCCGTACCACAGGCGCGCTCTCTGAACTGTCGTCGAGCAGGGGGGCCTGGGAGCCGCCGCGCATGCTGCCACGCCTGCTGTCTGGCGCACCGCCGCGCGGCTGGGGCCGGGCTGGCGCCCTAAGGAGACCACCCCCGCGCAGTTGGCGCAGTGCTTGCCGCTGATCGTGCCGCGGCTCGCCGAGTGCGCGCTGGAGGCGCCGCTATCTGCTACCCTGGGATCCTGGCGTTCTCGCCCGGCTTCGGGCCCCAGGACCCTCGCAGATCGATCCGGCCCAAGAAGTGACGCAGAAAGACGGGGTTCGTGGCCGCAGTGGTGATTTCTGCGATGTTGCAGTTTTTGTTTGCAACGTCAGATCTGAGGATAGTCCCTCTCGCCCCTTCACGAGAGCCCATTATTGTATTATTCGCGATCACGCCCGTGAGCGGCCCCGCCCCCCCCCCTCCTCCCCCCTCAGTCACGTCACGATTCGCGCAAGCGTTGCCTGGAAGTTTGCATTCTTCAGCAGTCCCGCGCATCCCGACGTGGACGGCCCCCTCCCCCCCCTCCCCCCTTGTCATGCTTGTGATCGCCAGGGGATGAGAAAAGGGCTCGATGAGTTGCATCACCTTCTTGCGGTGCCGATGTACAGGATTCCCTCTGTTTCTGAGGGCGTGTCCCTCATATTGTCGTCGCCTGTGGGCTTGTCAATCTTTGGGGTAGGGATCAGCTCGAGGCTGAATCGTCTGGCGCGCCGCCCTTGGGCGGGGGCCGCCAGGGTGGCGGAGAGCAGGGCATTGCAATCTTTTGACACCAGACGTCTTCGCTTAGTTTCGGGCCCCAGAGCCATCACTCAAACAGTGGCGAGGCGTCCTGGCTTGCCTGAAAAAGCCCACCAAAGAGTGTGTTGAGAACCATTGCTGTTTGCGCGAAATGTTCTGCAGCATTTCGGGCTGAGCCCGTCTTGGTATTATACATTGGGTTTATGTTCTAAGAACCTTGCTTTCGTTATTTGGAAATTCTCTACTCTGCGAACATTTCGTGTAGGCCTATCAGAATGCCGGGACGGTCGAGCCCTACTCAAATCACGGACAGGTTTTGTTCGGAAGTTGTAAGAGAAAAAGGTTGGGCTTGGGGATGTGGTCGTGATTTTTCATGCTGTTGCACGCGCGTGTTGTCAGATCTCACGGCATCCCTATCCTTAGGATGGGGTCCGAGGCTCCGAATAGTTGAGCGGCCGATTTTTGGACGGTCCCCTTGGCCGTCAAAAGCAGGGAAGTGGTCCAGACCTCCAGGGCTCCACGCATCGAAATATTTGGAGCGTCAGATGTCTGGGTCGTGTGCTGCAAGAGCCTGAAACATATCCTTATCCCTCCGATTGGCATCACCTCATCGCGATGCTGATCTGAAGGATTCCAGATTCCCTCAATTCCGTGAGCGTGTACCCCTAAGATCGTCAATCGCAGGGGTGGGGAGGCACTCGATGCTGGTTAGTCTTGTGCGGCGCCGCCCCTGTGCGGAGGTCGCCAGGGCGGCGGCGGCGAGACGGGGAGAGAAGGAGGCGGAGGGAGGGGGACTTTGGGCGTCTTCGCGCAGTCTCGGGCCCCGTGACCATCACGGATCGACCCTTCTCGGAGAATGTTTCAGAAATATCGGGTCTAAGGCTTTGGTCGTGATTTGTCACCGTGGTGCAGTCTTGTCGCGGTCAGATCTCAGGGCAGGAGTCGGAGGCCGCAAGAGGTCAGGCGAGGGACTGGTACCGATGCCGCGGTTGGTCCTGGATGGCCCTCGTCGCCACGGCTGGATCCTCCTCGAGACTGAAGTCAGAGCGCAGCCCAGGAGAGGTCCTGGGAGTACAGTCGGCCCTGCCAAGTGAAGGGTACCCTTGTGTCCTGTGTCTCGCGACCCATGCCTCCTACATCCCTATGGCAGTGTGCCCCTCGGAAAGGGTATTTTGTCCTCTTGCGTGTCCTCTCTAATCAAGTCCGACTGTAGCGGCATCGGCAACGCTGTTGCGTCCCAAGAGAAAGGCGGAAGAGGCAAAGGGAAGAGGAGGCTCCGGAGGCTCCGCCCGATGGCTCAGCAGTGCCGAGAAGGCTTTACGGCCAGTGCCGCCGACCCTGAAGGGTGACGACGGCCGCGACGGCGGCGGCAGCGACGACGACACCGACGTGCGGTAGAGTCCTCAGGGATGCTTGGTCTGGCCTCTTCGGAGAGCGCTCGTGGGCCTCTGGGGCTCTCTGCTGGGGCCCCTTGGGAACATCTCGGGGGCCTCTTCAGAGCATTTTGGGGGTCCTTTCGTGCCTGGGAGCCTCTTGGGCGCCTCTTCGTGGCCTCTTGGCTCCTGGGAGCGTTTCGGGGCCGAGGGCTCGAAATGCTCGGTCGGGCTCACGTGTGGGCACCCCCTTGGGGCCTTTTTGGGGGCTTCTTGGGCCGTCGTTGGGGCCCTTGGGTCGTGTTGGAGCCATCTTGGAAACCTCTCTGAGGCCTCTCGTGCCACTCTTCCTGGGATCTTGGACCGTCTTGGGGGGGTCGGGGCGCCCGGAAGGCGAGACCGCCCAAATCCATCAAACACCTGAATCGAAACATCGGATTTTGCTTGTTGGGGCCCTCTTGGTAACGTCTTCTGGGCCTCTGGAACCCTTCAGAACCCGCCTGGGACCCCTCTGGGACCCCCCCCCGCGCCCCCTCTCCCGGGGGGAAGTAATCAAAGGAAAGGGACTCCCCTCCGTCTCAATTGCGACGTTGCTCAATTTCGCTTTGGTTTCGCTTTGGCCGGATCGCTTGAGGAGGAGGGTCCAGTGAAAGGGGGGGAGCGGCGACGGGCCCAGGGAAAGGGGGGTCAAACACGACGACGACGGGACGACGACAAAAGTAACAACGATGCCGAGTCAAACAGAACAGTGTCTTCCGACCGGTGACAGGGTCGGCGGATTTTCAAAGAAGGAGGAGAGGGAAAAGGAGGAGAAGGATGAGGAGGAGGAAGAGGAGGAGGAGGAGGAGGAGGAGAAGGAAGAGGAGGAAGAGGGGAGGAGGGGAGGCGGGGGGAGGAGGAGGAGGAGGAGGAGGAGGAGGAGGAGGAGGAGGAGGATAAGGAAGAGAGGAGTGGGTGAGGGAGGAGGTGGGAGAGGAGGAGGCGGAGATGAAATGATGAAACGCAGGGGATGGAACGGGGGAGGCTGAGGTGAGTGAGTCGAGGTGTATAGAAATAGGGTGAGGAATGAAGGATGAGGAGGCGGAGGGGAGGGAGGATGAGGGAGTGAGAGAGGGAGGACTGAGTCCTGGAGAGAGGTCGAAGAAGGCGGCTTGTTTTATTATACAACTACATGCCTGGTGATATCGGCATGACATCTTATCAAGGATGAGGAGGGGCAGGAGGAGAAGGAGGAGGAGAGGGATGACATGGCAGTGGAGGGGAGGGAGGAGAGGAGCAGGGTACTCCCTGAGGGCCCCCCTTGCAACCCGCGGTCTAACCAAACAGTCTCCGCCTCCCCAATCTCCCCTTCGGAGGTTCATCAGTCGGGGGGAACCAGTGCCCTTCATCATCTCAAGGCCAAGTGCCACCTGCGCACAAGGGTTTCCCCAATCTAGGCCTACCAGATCGGATCCGAGTAAATGGGGTCGGAGGATCGCGCCGCATCGCCGATGCATCGGCGATGCGGCCCAATGCAGCTCGATGCGGAGCCCGATTTTTGCTTCGCCGACGGCGGCGATGCATCGCCGACGTCAAAGATGCATCGCCGATGCATCGCCGATGCGGCGAGTTCCTCCCACCACATCTACTCGGACCCCATTTGGGAGGCCTCTACCTGATCGGCTAGAGTCTTGCCTCTGAAGAAGGAACCCCCGTCGTTTGGGAGGGTCCCAGTGTCCCTGCATTTGCTTCACAGTTTGTCTTGGGTGTTCCCTTGGCTTAGGGGGCGTCGACGCTTAGCGTGTGAGGAACAGGGGCCTCGGTGCTAATTTAGGGCTCCTGCTGGCAGCGTTTCGGGTGTAGCTCGTGGCTCCCGCGCATCCTCGGCCGAGCTCGCCAGGGCTCGCGCCCCGCCGCCCCCCCCCACCCTCCGCAGACCGAGCGCGCGTGGCCCCGCGCGCGAGCCCGCGCAGCCCTGGCGGCCGGTCGGCACCCCTACTGCTCCCTCCCCTGACCCTTCCCACCCCCCCTGCCTTCATCCCTCCCTTCTTCCCTCCTCCCCCTCTCCTCTCCCTCCCTCCCGCACCGTGACCCTCCCTTCCCTCCCCTCCCTCCCTGCCCTCCGTCACCCCATCGCCCTCCCCCTGCGAAAATGCGGCCTTGAGAGGAGCGATCCGATCCGATCCGCTCCCTCTCTCCCCTGCCCCTTCCCGTCTTTCCCGTCCCCCATTGCTTCCACAGCCCGTTCTCGCCTCCGCAGAGAGGGGGGGAGAAGGCAGGGGGACGGGCGGCAGGCAGGGCGCTGGCCCGCGTCGTCCCCTGGCTCCAGCTCCGGCGGCCTCGGGAGCACACGGTGCTCGGCCCACCACCACTACCATAGGTAGGACGGGGGAGAAGGGAGGATGGGGAGGTCCTCCTCCTCCTCCTCCTCCTCCTCCTCCTCCTCCTCCCTCCTCCTCCCTCTCCAACCTATCTTAGTGGTGTCGCAAGATCGGCCCATCATGAGCCCCTCTCCTCCGACTGTTGGCCCCGCGGTTCGCCCCCCCCACCCCCCCTTGCCGAGGTGCGCGCGGAGGTGCGCACGGCGACGACCAGCGTGCTGCGAGACATCGGAGCTGCATCCCACCGAAGGGGGGGGGCGGCTCCTCCTGCTCCTCCTCCTCATCCTCCGCCTCCTCCTCCTCCTCCTCCTCCTCCTCCCTCCTCCCTCCTCCCTCCTCCCTCCTCCCTAATCCCTCACCCTTCTCCTCCTCCTCCTCCTTATCCTCCTCCTCTTTCTCCTCCTCCTTATCCTCCTCCTCCTCCTCGTCCTGGCGGCTCCACGGCGGCGGCCGCGCCGGCGACGACGACGATCGAGGGCGGCAAGACTGCATAAACATAGGGATCGACGCTCGAGGACGGTCAAGGGCGGTCGGCTCTACGGTAGGCTCATGCGGCGATGGCGAGCCAGCAATTCCGCATGATAGAACGACGCGGAAGCATTGAGGGGCACAATAACGACCCGACGGAGTTCAACCTTGAACGACCGGCGCCGCGATCGGTAGATGCGGTGTCAAGAACCTTTGCGCGCGCCGACGCCGCGCGATTCTGCCGTATTGTCCTCGATCAGCGATCGGGGGCGAACACGACGATTTTCAAATAAACATTTGTCGAGGACGATCGGCGTTGGACCCCCCCTGGCGCCCGGAGCGCACCAAGGAGGGGGTCCAGCGCCAAACCGAGAAATCTCTGCGGAGCACCGAGAGCTTTTGCGTCGTGCTGCTGCTTCGTCTGCTGGGCGACGGGCAGTCGGCGGCAGTCAGCATCTTTCATGGCGCCAACATCGCAGAGTGGATTTCGTTCGGAACACGATAGGATGGGCCCGGAGTGTCCTGGAGAACTTCGTTCCGGATTTCAAGGTGAATTTCGCGCAGATCTTCTGGCCAGGATTGAGGATTGCAGAAACATCCACGCGAAATTCACTTCGTGCTTCACCCGCCGTCTCGGCGCTCTGCGCGCACAAAGAAATCCGCGCAACAATCCGCTGCAGCACGTCTGCAGGGTCGGCGCAGTTTATGAGGAAAATCCTGGAGGCCTCTCGCGGCGCGTAATAGTAGTATGATCTAGTCCACTTGGCAGTTCCGTAAGCTGTGGGTCGACGTTCGCGCGGCGATGCTCAGGAGTCAGTCCGACGTAAATCCGACGCAAATCCGACGCAGTCTGGCGTGAACCCGACGTAAATCCGACGTAGATCCGACGTAGGTCGGGTCTCAAATTGCCGCGCGAGGCCTCCAGGATTTTCTTCATAACGCACGTCTGTCACCACCCACCAAACCACCCCAACGCAACCCGAAGGCCTCAAATTGACCTCCATTTCCAGTGGGGGGGGGGTCGGGGAACATCGAGAAAACACATATGGAACCCGTACCCCCCCCAACCCGAAATTCGGGTCTTCGGGTTGGGTTGGGGTGGTCTGGTAGGTAGCCAGTCTGCAGGGTCGGCGCAGTGACGTCTCGGCCAGCCACGGCGAGGTCGACGGAGAGGCCTCCGGGCCGCGTCACGCCGCCGCCCCGGGCGCAGCGGCGAGGACGGCGGGCCGGCCGCCCCTCCAGCGCGGCCGCGGGTGCTCGCCGCGCAGGGGCCCCGCCTCAGAGGCGACGGCAGGGGCGAGTAGCCCAGGGGGGGGGTGCAGCACACGTTAGGCGATGCTGAAGAAAACCTACTCCAGATTTCGTAATAAAGGGAGGGGGGTCTCATTTCGGGGGGGGGTCTCTTCCAGGCTATCTTGGAGGGCCTGGGGGGGTCGGGGGGACGACGTTGTGGAGGGTTCTCCCAGGGGGGGGGGTCTGAAATGGCTTGTCTTGGAGGGTCCAGACCCCCTCCCTTTTATTACGAAATCTGGAGTAGGCGATGCTGAAGAAAACCCAAGTTTTCGTCCAGAGGCTCGATTATTCTTCAACTTTCCATGTGAATCCCAAGATTTGAATAGACATTCTGGGCTTTTTATGCAAGGGCCCCGCCTCAGAGGCGGCGGCAGGGGCGAATAGCCCGGGGGGGGTGCAGCACACGTTACTCCAGATTTCGTAATAAAAGGGAGGAGGTCTCAACCCTCCCAGACAAGCCATTTCAGAACCCCCCCCCCATGGGAGAACCCTCCACAACGTCGTCCCCCAGACCCCCCCAGGCCCTCCAAGATAGCCTGGAAGAGACCCCCCCCCGAAATGAGACCCCCTCCCTTTTATTACGAAATCTGGAGTAGGCGATGCTGAAGAAAACCTAAGTTTTCGGCAAGAGGCTCGATTATTCTTAAACTTTCAATGTGACTCCCAAGATTTGAACAGACATCCTGGGCTTTTGTTCAAGTTCTGAGGCTATGAATTTCTGAACCCATGATTTCTAAAGCATTTCGTAGGGTGTAGCCCAGGGGGGGTGCAGTGCACGTGTCCAGGAGCGCCGACGGTCTGTGTCGTCGGCGAGGCTCCCGGGCGGATGCGTGTGATGCCCGCCCCTGGGCCATTCGCCCTTCTCGTCGCCGCCGACAGCCGTCGACCGCGGCCGGGGCCTTGACCGCGGCAGCTGGGGGCAGCCTGTCCTGGAACGCCACCCTTCTCGACAGGCCTGCCAGAGACGGGGTCGGAGGATCGCGCCGCGTCGCCGATGCATCGCCGATGCATCGGCGATGCGGCTGGATGCGGGGCCCAATTTTCTCCACGCCGACGTCGCCGATGCATCGCCGGCGTCGCCAGCGCATCTCCGATGCATCGCCGATGCATCGTCGATGCGGCGCGATCCTCCGACCCCATCTATTACGACCCCATTTAGGGGGCCTCTACCTTCGTGCCTCGATTCTTGACGCTTCGCGTGTCCTCACCAGGCCATCCAGGCAAGATCGCCAGGTGAGTTGCCTTGATGAGGGCAGCGTAGAAGCATGCAGTGCGACAGTCGCCTTTGATGCTCTTCGGGGATGCGGGGAGGGCGGAAACATGTGTTGTATGAGTTGGCAGAAGGTAGGTTGAACAGGTCGACCTGGCGCCGTTGTGGGGGTCATCTTGGGGTCCTCTTCGACAAATGCCCTTCGTGCATTAATTCGCAACGGATGCGTCCCGCCGTTTGCTTCACCGCTTGTTGGATCCATCTCGCCGCAGGCCAGGACACCGTCCTGGAGCGCCTGCAGAACGGAGGCGGCCCGCGTGTCGAAGCGCGCCAGCAGAGGGCTCCCATCGAGCCCCGCCGAGGCGAAGGCCTCGTGCAGGCCGGCCGCGTGAGTCCGCGATCACAAGCGGGAGCCGACAAAGGCAGGCAGAGTCCACGTCGCAAGCGACTGCGGCGAAGCCTCGTCAAGCGGCCCGCCGAGCAGGCGCGCCGTTGCGCGGTAGGAGCATGCCGTCGTAGTGGGCCAGCGCCTCCTCGCTGATGATGGGGCTTGCTGCTCGGAGTAGGTGGGCCGCCTGGCAGACGTCTGCACAGCGCCGCATCAGCACGAATTCGGCGGACGTGTCGTGCACGGCTGCCGCGTCGTGCACGGTTGCCTCCCTGTGCGCTGCTGCTAGGGGCTGGGCACCGACCGTGCCGCTGCCGAAGTCAACGCCAAGCACGTGGCGGGCTGGCCCAGTGGCCGAAGGGGGCCACAGACTCCAGGACCTAGCTTCAGAGGAGGGCGAGTTGAGACAACGGTTGTGGTGGTCGATCAATGGACAGGAAGAATGCTGCCAAATAATTTCCAAATTTGTGCACAATATCTCAAACATGTGAAAGAGCGTGTTCTACCGCTGCTGGCGGAAAACCGGGGGGGGGTCACTGGGGGTTCTCAACCCGTCCCCCCCCCTCGAAAACCGGGGGGGGTCACTACCGGTTCGAACCCCTGCCCCCCCCCAGTCCATCATGAAAAGGGGGGAGGTTCACTACCTGTTCGACCACCCCCAAAAAAGAAACCGGGGAGGGGGTCACTACCGACCCCCCCCCCTCGCCGCCGGCAAACGATTCCCGCTCCTCGGGACAGCTGGACAATGGTGGGGATACTGGGACAGTGGTGGGAACGGTGGTGGTGGGGACAGTGGTGCGGGGACAAGGGGACAGTGGTGCGGACAGTGGTGGGGACGGTGGTGGTAGGGACAGTAGTGAGGGGACAGCGGGACAGTGGTGGGGACAGTGGGACAGTGGTGGGGACGGTAGTGGTGGGGACAGTGGTGAAGGCGGTGGTCAGGACAATTGTGGGACAGTAGTACAGTGGGGAGAGTGGTGGGGACAGTGGTGGGGACAGTGGTGGGGACAGTGGGGACGGTGGGACAGCACGGTGGGACAGCAGCGGGGACAGTGGGACAATGGTGGGTACAGTGGGGACAGTGGGACAGTGGTGGGGACCGTGGGGAAAGTGGGGAGAGTGGGACCGTGGTGGGACAATGGTGGGGAGAGTGGGGACAGTGAGAGACTGGTGGGGCACTGATGGGGACAGCGGGGACAATGGTGGGAACAGTGGGGACAGTGGGACAGTGGTGTGGACAGTGTGGGACAGTGGTGGGGACGGTGGTGGTGTGGACAGTGGTGGGGGGACAGTGGGAATGTGGTGGGGACAGTGGGACAGTGGTGGGGACAGTGGTGGTGGGGACAGTGGTGAGGGCGGTGGCGAGGACGCCGGTGGGACAATGGGACAGAGATGCAGTGGGGACAGTGGTGGGGACAAAGGCGGGAACAGTGGGACAGCTCAGTGGGACAGCGGCGGAGACAGTGGGATAGCGGGGACAGTGGGGTAGTGGTTGGTGCCGTGGGGAAAGTGGGGAGACTGGGACCGTGGTGGGAACAGTGGTGGGGACAGTGGAAACAGTGCGACAGTGGTGGGGGCACTGGACCCCCCCATCGCCGCCAGCAAGCGTTTCCCGCTCCTCCGGACAGTTGGACAATGGCGGGGATACTGGGACAGTGGTGGGAACGGTGGTGGTGGGGACAGTGGTGCGGGGACAGTGGGACAGTGGTGCGGACAGTGGTGGGGACGGTGGTGGTAGGGACAGTAGTGAGGGGACAGCGGGACAGTGGTGGGGACAGTGGGACAGTGGTGGGGACAGTGGTGGTGGGGACAGCGGTGACAATGGTGGGAACAGTGGGGACAGTGGGACAGTGGTGGGGACTGTGGGGCAGTGG